GAAAAAACAATTGTCAATTTGAACTTTTGTGGGTTTTCTAATGGTTTGTTATAGTCGGAATAATGTCCATCCCGCAAACAGTTCAGTTAAAAAGTTTAGTTTCGCGTACTTAAAATCGTCAAACCCTTTTGAGAACACGTAATGCTTTTAAGAGACCTGAAAGTGGCTTAATCCCAGACGGGAAAAAAAAAATTGAAAAAATCATATTGACAAAAAAACAAATCTATTTTTGACAGCATCCAGTAGGAGCCCAACTGTGACCTCAAGCAAATTCAAGGATTTTCTTTTGCAACGGGAGACTTGCGGATGGGACAAATCGATCATCTGTAATTTTTACTGGTGAACTCCAGATTTGTATTAAGAAACGATTTTCGACCTACAATAGTGTACAGGAAGCTTACCTTCTATTTTTTTTTTTTTTTTTTAGAAATTATTGTGTGACAAAATTAGGCTATGGCCAAAAAATTTTGATTAGGAATATTAGAGGGTATGGAAATTTTTACACTGATCTACCGCAAACCGGTTTACATTGCTTTGGTTTATCAAAGAAATCGTACTAAAATCTTTTCTTTGATCAATTTTCAGTAATATATTTAATTCAATATTTTTTATTTATTTCTTAATGAACATATTTAAAGATACAAAAACTTTCTGAAATAGGTAGGAAAGTCAAGTGAGTGGACACACCGGATTCTTTTATAGTGTATTAATCTTACCACAATATAGAACATCTTTTCCTTGATTACAGGAATTTTAATTAATATATTATTAATTTTATTTATATAATGCACAGTTAATTTTAGAATTAATGCTCATTGCCAGAACGTCCTATATCAATAAATTATCGTAAATAAATCAATCAGTTTGATAAACAATTCTCTTTAAGTTTCACTCACGCAAACACACTCTAAGCATACCTGCGAGATGCCATATTTTTACCTCCCAGTGTTTATTTGTCTTTTCTTAAAACATTTCCCTACGATTACAAATTGGAACGTTGAGTCAGTGTTGAGTTAAAACTGACCAAAGACATTTCATCTGCTTTAAATATCCTCTAGGAACAGGTATCTCACTCTTAGTGAAAGGAATCGAAAATAGAATAGGGCGAGAGAAAAACCAGGTGAGATGGTACCAGAAAAGATGCCGTCTTGAAAAATTGTGGGAATAATTTTAGAATGTTTACCAAGACATCCTCAGAATGTATTTTACAATATTGAAGCAATCTATATAGCTATTTAAGTATAGGAAATTTCTCACATTTCCGATGGTATTGTCAAATTTTAGTGAAAGAACATTTTTTGTTAAAGAACAAGGAAAAGAAAGATCGATTTTAATGTAAAATTGTCGAGAATTGAAAAAAAAACATAAATTTAAATTAATTTCTTATAAAACATTAAAAAACGTACGATTGTTAAAATGACTTTTTTTAAACACAATAGAGGTGTAGAATCGGACTCTGAATATCCACGTTATCATTTTGTACACAATGTTTTTTTTGTTCTCCCCTTCCTCGCCTTTTAGGCTATACGGGGTTTTGCCGGGCCAGAGGGTGAGGGCGGGGAATTAATGCCAGAGTTAAAAGCTCACCCACGACACCAGGACGCGACCTCGTAATTATTTTTTTTAGCTAAACTTCGGTTATGAGGTTGCCGGACAACGCGCGGTACAGTGTACACCCGTTAGCCCGCTCGGCCACCCCGCCCATACAATAATTTTACGTTGTACAGTTTTTCAGGTCATGGTCGATATTTATTTCATATCGGACCAACACCATAAATCTCAATCTTCCTACTTTGGTTATAATAGCTTGGTTGGCTACCTGCAGGAGACAACCTGCTTCCGCTGTATGTCAGATGTGGCAAGGTAGGAGGTACTAGTCCGTAGTACAGACAGACCCCTTTTGTCAAATTATTTACACCCGCCTATAACTTCGTCAATGGCTTATCTTCTTATCGTAACCTACAAACTTTTTATCTACGAAAATTCTCAGAATTTGGACATTCTATTCTTATTACATTAATTAATTTCATTAGTTACTAAAAACGCATAAATACCCACTTTATTTCCACTTGAATCGTAAGATAATTTTATTTTATTTATTTATTATTTTTATATAATTTTTCTTAAGCAGTGATATTGCAATATGGCGATCCTATTGCTCTCCTGCTTTCATAAATCTTTAAGCTATGTACGTTCCTGTTTTATTACTTATAATTTTATATTTTAGATCTTTTGGCCAGATGTAATAGTAATTTGTATGTACGATATTGTTACTCTTAATGGAAGTTGTCCTAGAAGAAATTGATATTTCTATTTATTTTTATATTTCTAACCTCGTTATTTTGACATGTTGGGAGTGAAGGTCACGCCAAACCGCCCAATATTTTTGTAGACCACCTATCTTCGTGGTTTTGTTATCAAATTATCTTACGATTCAAGTGGAAAGAAAATGGGTGATCATGAGTTTTTAGTACCTAATTAAATAGACAAAGTTTGCCGATCTGTAAATTGAAAACGACCAGAATTTTCGGTAAGTAAAAGAATTGTAGGTTACCATGAGATAAAGCAATTCACCATGTTTTAGGCGGATGTTAATAATTTGATAAAAAGGGGTCTGTACCGCGATCTATATAGGAAAAGAGGTTTTTGAGAGATTCACCAGTAATATAACATGCCTTCCTAAATAATGACAAGAAACGTCAAGTTTTGCTTAAAATTATTGATTCGATTCACATACTTATTAATCAGGCTATAAAAATGATTATAATGATTTTTTCAATTTCCTTTTATAAATATAATACCAAGACTATTTTATATTTTCGTATGATAAAGTTACAGAATTACATACTATATTTCACTATAACCAATTGGTCAATTAGCTTTAGTGAAATAAATAGACTGCATTAATGTGATTATTTATTTTTTTTTTCGGACGCGGGGTGGTGAGGTTGACGCCTCCATTGGCGTCATTGGTTAATTAATAAATAACTAATTTATTTATTAAATTTGCTAAAATAGTAAATAGGAGGATTTGGACGGAATTGGGTATTAGTCAATAGAAAAAATGGCTAAAATTTTAATTTTTAATAAATATTTGTTAGAAATGAATACAATTTTATCTGATTAAACAAACGACTATAAAATCCGAATAAAATTTTGTTCGTTGATTTTAAACTGAAATTTCGATCGGGTATAATATTAATTCGAATAAATATTTATAAATTAAATTGAAAAAAAAATTGATAACGCTGTAACCTTTTTAAGAATAAAATGAAAATTGGTCAAATTTTAAAATTTAGGTTTGATAATATTAATGTTATCGATATCCCATTCAATAATAATAATAGTCCATCCAGAACGACTCATCCGTGTATAATTTAAAACTAAAATCTGACTATAATCGAATACTTAATTTTAATTATCTCTAACTAATGGGAGTTTTATTTTTAATTTTAGCCATTCATATTGAATACAACTTAAATATTAATCATGAATAACGGCTAAATTTTTAATGATGATTCGTTTGAAGTGACTAGAGAAAAATTACCATTTTCAAGTTAGTAGCGAAAAAACGTCTAAAAAAATCAGTCATGGTGGTTTTTATGGACTAAAATGAATTTCCCAATTAAATTATAGCGAATTTATTGACCATCGATTTATAGCCGGCAACAATAGGCAACACTAGGAAACAAGTATCAAGCAACATGTCATTCAGTGTTGCCTTAGTGGAATTCCGCCTTTATAGTCTTCTTAAGCCATTTCGTGCATTTCTACGACCGTCACCTGCTTACCGACTGTAAAGTTGTCCAAGTTTTGCTTTCTTTATTTTATATAACTTTTACATTATTATTAAAAATATATTTGCTAATCTTCATTTTTCATAATTAGGTGTAGATTAATTAATTTTAGGACAGTTGCATAGAGATACGAATATTATTTCTTTTATTCAATATTTCATCATTCTTTTCATTTATCGTTTTCATTGATTTATCTTTATTTTCATTTATTAGATTTTTTTATTTTGTTTTATTATCCAAGCGTATGTAAAATTGATTTAATTTTTGGTTTATTATTTTCAATAATTAATCATTGTAATCGAACAAAAAATGCAAAAACTTAATCCCCTCTCAAAATTTGAGGTTTTACATTTCAGGATACGTAGAATTAAAAAAACCAATAAATTTTTTTTTATTTGGATTTAAAGTCAGAGGTCACCCGAGGATGATCCTCCTTCATCGACATTACTATCTGGCTTTTACTTTCAAAATGGCGGCCGAAAAACTATTGACTGTAAAGCCTAAACGAATGTACCGATTTCAATGAAACTTGGCTAAAGTCTTCTTCTTGATGCCCTTTAAATTTATCTATATAACATACTTCAACGAAAAGAAATAGGAAAAAACGTTACGACGGATGGTAAAATTAGATTACGAATAACTCAAAAAGTATACACTTTTTTGTCAATATTGTATAACAAAAAAACAACCTAAAAAACCCAAAAAAAAAACATCGTTAAATTGGACAATTAGGAACATAGATATGGTCTCCAGATGTTTTATGTTCTACTGCAAAACCTTTGTTTTGGATTTTGATTTTTTAATGTTACTGAAGTAATGCTATTTTTTTTTTTTTTTTTTTTTTAGTAAATTACTAATGATGAAAAAAAAAATTTAGACAAATAATTGGAATTAACTTTTTATTTTTTTTTAATTTGTCACTAGAAAGGTAATGTTACTTTAGCTGTAATTGTTGGGAAATAATAAACCGTTGTGAAATAATTTGCAGCGTTTTTTATTTGTTATTATAAAAAATAAAAAAAATGCTTAGTCCAGGTTTAGTTATATTCATCATACAGTCCATTATTTTTATTATATAATTTTTTTTTTTCACATATTTTAGTTAAGCTTCTACTTTCATTTTTATTCATTTATTATTACTTTTTTTTAACTACGAGTAAGCTTAATAAATATTATAATATTAAAATTAATTATTTGTTTCAGAGCTGCTCTGATCCTCTCAAAATTTGGCTCGACTCAAATATATACAGGATGCTAAAATATTCCCTATTTTGCATTTTGTACCAGCTCTACATACTCTTGTCTTCCATCTACGGTTGCCTTCAATTTTTTTCCAAAAACAAGAGCTGACGAATCGCTTTCTGTTGTGTAAAAGTTTTTCCGAAATTCGTTTCGGATAATTTCAACCTCAAATCTAGACTGTCGTCCAAGGAATCGGCAGCCGTGCCGCGTGTTGAAATGATAATTTAAAAGTTTGAAATTCATATATATTTTTTTATGTGTGTAAATAATGGTATTGTAAATTTAATTTGTTGTAACAGATTTTGATATTAATATTTTTTTATTGTTAGAGCTTTAACTTTTTCTTTTTCTATTTATCTATTTCAAATAAAATGATTGTCTATTCCAGTTATTGTGGTTCGTTACGTAAACCTTTACTAGTGTGGGTGATGTAAGAAGAGCTAATTAGTTGTCCTTGCCGCAAGCATGGCAATAGTGCTTTTAAATATCTAAAGATAAAATATTATTGATTGTTAAACCATTAGATTTAATCATCTAATATAATGATATACATTATCATTAATTAGAAATTAATTAATTTATAATTTACAAATAAACATCACAATAAAGACCTAGATGTTTTAAGTCAAAAATCTAAACAACCATTTAGCTAATTAATTATAACCTATTAAAACATCACAATAAAGACCTAGATGTTTTAAGTCAAAAATCTAAACAACCATTTAGCTAATTAATTATAACCTATTAAAGTTGATTGAATTTTTTTTTTTTTTACTCGAAGTACATTATTAAATAGTGATGCAGGAGTTCATTCACATTGTATGTAAAATAAATAAAAATAAATCAAAAAGAACAACAGCAAAATTTTAATACTAAATGTAAATGTATATAAACAATAAGAAACTAAACTAATAAAAATATAAACTTAAATTCAGCCATACTTTTATACAATATTTACAAAATTCATTCACTCAGAATAACTTCAACTCCCGAGGAGAAATCGAGAGTATTTCTCCTCCTGGAAGAACAAACAGATCCTAGAACTCTAGCAGATCCCAGAGCCTTTCGCTAAGCCCAATTACTGATATTAAGGACCAGGTATATAATAATTAACATTCAATATAGATTATGGGTGATCTATCTCCAAAAATCTCTTGAGTGATATTATTTTTGTGATTTTCAAAGATTATTGATAGTTTTTCTAACTCGCAGTGTTTGACTATCACCCAAAATTTATCCGCATGCTTAGTATTTATTTTTTTTCTTTCCAGGCGCACATAACGAAAATTCTGCATGACACTTAATCGTGATTGAATCAGAGTATTGAGATGGTTGAAAGGTTTTCTAATTTATATCAAATAGTATCAACTAGAAAGTAAAAATGATAGTTTGATGATGACGGACAGGATCTGCGTCGAAGAGTGAATGTGACACGTTTGAATCTAAATTAATTTACTTTGATGAGCCGATTATTTCACTGGTGATCAATCAGAGAGAGATGTCTTTGTAGAATTAAAGATTATATTTCAGGATCTGATGGTAGGATGGCGTTCTTATCAACAAAACGTCCCAGAAAGATATCGCTATGAACAGGAATTCAAGTGGTAAGCAGAATGTAAAGGACGAAACCCAATACGCTTGATTAAGTAACACATACTTCACCAGAATAGCAATTGGAAAATTATGTACAATAGAAACTCGATAAAAACAGTCAGTTTGTTGAACTAAGGATAAGGACTGGGTAATATAAATTTTAAGCATGAATAGCAGCCCGACGTGCCATAGCCGCTAAAAGCTTCAGTCCAGTCAATGAATGATTATTGAAGGAAATGGCGGGGGTACAATTTTTGACTTCGGGACATTGTTTGGGCGAGTAAGGAGGTAAACATACTTGAAGTCTCCACTCCTAGTTGGTGAGCCAGATGTGATAGGAGAGGGAGGGAGGGGGGTCTGCCTATAAGGTCACATTTTATACATTTTTCGGGATTTCGCTTATATCCGGTAAACTATCCGTCGCATTATCAAAGACATTCTATACAAAATTTAAGCTGATAAAATTAGTAATACAGATTGACTAGTAGGCCCGAAAAATTCGCACAGCATATTGTTATCAAATGCCAAATTAATAAGAAAATAAAATAATGCAAAGTATCAAAAGATAAAAAAATCAATTGTTACATTATCCATAAATATAATCGACAAAGGAAACAAAATTAATTTAAATTTTCATTTTTGTTTGGAACCAACATATTTACAAATTTCAATAAGCTGTATCTTTGCAAAAAATTGTCCGATTTCAATGATTTTTTTTCCTTTAGTAGACAATTAGTAACGTTTTATACAATCATGGGAATAACCAAGGAAAAAGGGTGTAATTTTTTAGTTATTCACAAAGAAAGTTTCTTTTTTCTTGTTTGCCTGAATTTTCGGGGTGATTGGAATAATTTTCCCGGCTGAAGGAGAAGGAAGCCTTCGAAATTGATGGCTCAATCTTGAGATTTGGTGAAGAATTAACGATGATATGGCTTGCCGATCAAAAACACCATCGATAAATAATATAAACTCCTCCTGTCTCGATCATGGAGACCTCAAGTCGACGAAATGAGACATGTATCCAATGACAGTACTACAATTAACGTCAGGTTGTGTGAATGCGAACCCCATGCCTTGCGTTATCTCGAAAATAGTATGTTTTTGGGCTTGAAAACGCAGGGTGTACGCATCAAAATCTTCATGGTCCAATTTGTCCCGCATCGATCTACAGAACTACCACCGTTCCAGTATTGAAGCCTAGCAAAATGTTTGTATCGACTTTATTTATTTTAGAAATTAAAACAAAAGCGGAGAATACGATTCGCTAACCCCCCGTGAAATTCTGAATCCAACGGTACCCCATTCATGGTATTTGAGCATGACAGGAGCTTATATTTGGTACAAAACCGATTTCGAACCTTACTGTAATAATATATGTACTGATTATATACCTATTTTCGCTACCTCACTTAGTTCCAGAGATATCCGTTCTATAGATATCCGGCTAATTTAAAAAAATGTTTGCCTCATGACTAGCTAATAATTGATCGCATTTTTTCATCAGGAAGGCAGTTTTTAATAATTAAATTTTCCTCAAGAATATATATTATTTTATTATTTTATATCCAACGGATCAACAGTTACAACTTTCTTCCTCATGACTTAATCTTAGAACGAAGCAATCAAGCATTAGCTAGTCATGAGGCAACTTTTTTTTACTTTCACCTCCTCTTTGTCTGAAAATACTTATTTCTGATAAGAAGAGGGTGGTAAGTGAAAGTTGTGTGATGCGCTTACCGAACCAGATTTATTTTTTGTTTCGCAGTTCCTTTCTTGAGTATCATTTACGCTTTAGAAATTTGCAATAGGTTTCAAAACTATAATTTCAAGCCAGCTTCCTCCCGGTGGAAATAAATTTAATTATTGAAGAGTAAACTAGTAACGATGAATTCTATGTACTATCCATTTGCTTATTGCAGAACACAATTACTTAGAATGCATATTCAATGAAAAAAAAGTTTGAAATTCCTTCACGATGTAAAGAACCGATATGCTAATTTTAACGATGTTAGCATTTGAAAGGTAGAGGTATAAGGTTGCTGTCAATCGAAGGCTAGTCTGATTGATGTAAAGGTTTCCTCCCACATCTCCAGAACCAGGTCGGATAAATTATGACATTGAATACATTCGCAATGCTAATCAACGTTGAGTAAAATCCAATAAAACTTGACTCAAATTTCTATTTTGCTTGGTCCCGTTTGTGTATCTGAGGTCTTTTAGCTTTATCAGACTAAAACACCGCATTTCAAGGTGCTTTTACACTTGCGAGATGGTTGGTTCGCGAACGATTGGCTTACAAGATAGCTAAGAAGTTAGAATACCCGTTTTTTTCTTTTAAACACGATTTTCACAAAGCGATTCGTCTAAATCGCCTGCTACGTTTTTTACATTTCGCATTTTCTTTAGCGTTGTTTCATTATTATTGTATAATTAAAATGAGCCAGAGTAAAAACATTCTTACCAAAATAAACGTTAAGAAATAATAATAATAATAAAAAGGCGAACGATTGGAATACAAGTTTGTTAAAAAGTTGAAATATCCGCTTGCTGTGATTATGACAAAGCGACCTGTCTAAATCACCTACTTTTATTTAAGATCCTCTACTCTTCTTATACGCTGTACGTTGTTTCGTTATTATTATTGTTTAATTAATAGAAGTCAGCATAAAATTATTCTGATTGAAATCACCACAAAAAAATAATAAAAAATATATAAACGACATCGTTATGGTTTAGAGTACAGGATATGATGATATATATTATTTTCCTGTTGGCATTACTCTATCCTAAATTCCGCATTCCTCTATTATAATCTATCCCAAATTATAAAAAAGCTAAGAGATTCTTCTGGTAATGTAGGCCCAGTAACTTTTTTATTCTATTTATTATATTATTATTAATTTATTATTATTATACAAACTTCACTAGTTATAGTTAGTTATAGACGACATCTATTGTTAGGGGAGCCTTTTGTATGAGGCCCTACTCAGCCAAATGTTAAAAATTTACTTATTGTTAATATAACTATGTATGGCTCAATAACCAATTCTGGAAATAAAGGATATATAATAAAAAAAAGGTAAATATTTGTTAAGAAAAAGCAAATTAGATTTGTGTTTGGTGTCTTTCATGAAAGTCGCTGTAATATTCCAGGCATATACCTGGCTTTACGATAAATGTAACCAAAAAGAAACCCTTCAACACATAATTTTGGAATGTCTACTTATAAAAATGAAATGAAAAATTGTCTAAATCTTCTTAACCCTTATAATAATGACGATATACATGAGAAATTGTTAACATCCATCAATCCTGAAGAAATAGTCAATATCACACAGTATTTACATTCAATAAAAAAATATATTTAGATTTGAAAAAGTAAGGAATGGGAATACAACTCCATGATTTTATAACTGGCTGTATGGGAAATTCCAATACAAAATATATGTACAGGGTGTTTCAGGATTAAGTGGCCAAACTGCAAAAATGAATTAAGGATATCAAAACAAGAAAAAACTTTCCTCTGAAGGTATGTTGGCAAACGCTTTGTTTAGGAGATATCCACACCTAAAGATTATCGTTGTTATGAATTATTTACGTCATATGAAATAAATAAAACCTATTCAGTTGTTCTAACTACTTTATTATTTAAATGTAAAAAAAAAATGAGCTATGGGGCTCCACCAAACCTTCAAATTCCTCTCGCATACAATCCTTACAATCCAAAATCCTTCGTAAAATCCTCAATGCTCCTTACTTTGTTACAAATAAAATTATCCATAATGACCTTAATGTTCCTTATGTATCAGATTTGGCCCAATCCAGATATCTGTCCTTCCATGGTAAACTTCA